AAAAGTCCTGGGGTGGCCGTACATAACAACAGTTCATCCGGCTCAATAAAATATTGAGCACTGCCCTTCGATTCTTACTAGGGAATTTAGTCACAACTAAGGTTTTGAGGAAAACAAGGGAAATGAAAGTTTATACTTCCTCGGAAGAAGTTAAGGTGTTTGGTGGAGAATTTTGTTCCTTGAAAATAATTTTATCTAAAACCATTTTCGTGTACACACACACACACACACACACACACACACACACACACACACACACACACACACACATATATATATATATATATATATATATATATATATATATATATATATATATATATATATATATATATATATATATATATATACGGGGTTGGGTGAGACTTACTAGCATTTTCGCCTAATTGTGTTCTTTTGTTTTTCTTTGTCTTTCTCCTTTTCGTACAGATGATTATGCTGTGGATGATGATATGTTTGGTTGAGTTTTAGAGAAATCACTAGTAATAAAACTTTTATTTATGATTTTTTTTTCATGGACTTGTAATGGGACTCACTTGCTACTTGTTACTTACTCTGGTTTGGTTAAGTACATTTTGTTTTGCCTGTGCACTTAGTGATGGTTTTGCTAAGTGTGGCGGTAATACACTCAATTTCCTTTTATTATTCTGCTGCAACATTTGAGTACATTAAAATAAAGTTCATTATTCCTTGTTAATAAATTATTATTACAAGTATTATTTTGGGTGGGGAAATTGGGGGTGTTACAAGTTGGTATCAAATCCCTTTTTTTAAAAAAATGTTTTCTTGAAAGAACTAGGGAATAAAAGTAGGAAATGGGCGGATGGTAGTTAGGGTAGGGGTGGGATTCAGCCCAGCCCAAAATAATTTTTTTTAGTTAATACAAGTATATGTTAAATTCTCACCCCATCCCAAAATTATTTCCCAGCCCAGCCCACTGCCCAACTTCTCGATCTTCTGAGTTCTGACTTGCGCTAAAGCCTTAAGCGAATGGAGCTTCGCGTAAGAGCAATAGTGTCTAGCGAGAAGAAGAAAGAACGATGAGGGAGCACTGGAGCAAACTGCAGACGGAGCTTGAATCTGCGACGAAGAAGTGACTAGTGAACGACTCCAGTCTCTAGTTGCGCCGCCGACGTTGTCCACCAATTTCGGCATTCTGCCTCTACGCGGCGACTGTGCGTCTGCGCGTCTGCCTGTCTGCCTCCCTCCAGGCTCCAAAAGTCCAGGTAAACTCAAAATTCAATTTCTTTTTTAGATATTTAATTTATTGTTTTAATTGATTTGGTGTTAGATTGTAATTTCATGAATGTGTCAATGTGTTATACGGTTATAACGTATTATTTGTGTATAATATTAATATATTATTATTTTTAGCATTCTAAAGTTTTAGGGTTAGGGAATCATTTTGATTATTAATTGAATTTTTCAGTACATAAATAAATAATGTTTAATTCATTATAATAAATATATATGATTAAAGATAGAATTGAATAGTAGAAAATGATTTAGTTATTAAAGCTTAGTAGTTTTATGTAGATTAATTCGTCTTGTTTTGACCCTGCCTGTTTCTACCGCTACTACAGAAAGAGCATTTTCAGCAATAAAGCATGTGAAGACAGCACTCCGTAACAAAATGGGAGATCATTTTCTTGAAGTTTCATTGATGATCTACATTGAACGAGATTTTGCCAATAAATAGATGTAGATTCTATTATTGATGAATATTATACTTTGAAGTCGCGTAGGACACAACTTAAATGATGTTTTGATGGATATTTAAATGGTTGACAACTTGACTTATTATTAGGAATATTAGGTATGTGTATTTCAATTTTTTTTCCCCAGCCCACCCCATTGTAACTTTCTGGATCCGCCCCTGAAGTAGGATTCATAGAAGCGCGGTGAGGATGGTGTGATTTATTTATTTTCTCTACTTGTTTTTTTATATGTGTTTTATTTGCAATTATCTCTGTGTGGACCCATAAGTGAAATGGAAACTCCAAATAGTGGAGAAATGTGGAGAAAAGCCTAAAAAACGAATTCATGGCTAAGGTATGTAAATCCTTTTATGTGTGATATTTATGAGGTCTTTGGAATGTGAAATCAATATGTGAAAGCCTTATTGTATGCTTTTATATCTTTGCGGAACCCCATAGCTGAGTTCCTCCCCGTCCGCTCGAACCCCTTCCATCCCGTCCGCTCGAACCCCAGAGGTGAGTTCCTCCCCTTCAACTTCGTCGTCAACACCGTCATATGTGTCTGGGACATCAGAGTACTCCACAGGCATCACCGGTTCAGCATGCATGGAAAAATTGGTCAGATCTGAGCATGCCAAAACCATAGAATCGTTGATTTTGACCGACGAATTTGATTGCTTGTGTTGCATGAGGGTATCATCACAGGATTCAGCAACGATGGAGCAAACCTCTGTCTCAGAGAAGTCCATGGAGGTCGGAGATGAACGAACCCTAGAAACACCGACAAATGTTGCACAGATGAAGATGAGGGTTTGGACAGAAGAGGTACTCAGCCACACATGAAGGTTCGAGGGATAATTCACAGGTTTCTCAAGGATTACACAGAGCGGAGAAGGAGAGATTAGAGATGAAGGGTTGAGGAAGGTGAGATGAGAGAGCAAGGGTCAACCGAGATGAAATGAGAAGGGACGGGTAAAGTGGGAGAGAGGAGAGAGACGCGATGAAGTGGGTTGGGTGAGGGTTAAATGGGTGAGGGTATTTTAGGGAGTATAAGGTGGAGGGGTTTCCTAAAATAGAAATGGGACAATAATTTCGGGACGGGCCGAAAAGGAAAGAGGGACGATAGTTTCGGGACGGAGGGAGTATATTATTAAATAGATATAATATATATTATATATTATATATTTATATGTGGGTCAGCGGGAGGGTGGATGGAACGGGGTGACGGGTCGAGTGATGGGTTGGATGAGTCTTCATCCACACCCGATCCACCCCGTCTTTCAATCCACCCGTCATCCATTTTTCATCCATACTTCTTCGGGTTTTCGTCCATATTTTCGATTCGGATTGACCGGGTATCCGCGGGTGCGGGTGATATTGCCAACCCTATACCAATTGTGAGTTCCCAGATCAAAAGTCGATTAACACTAAACAATAATATGTAGAAAACACGTAGAAGATGCAATATCAAACAACTATCAATACCATATATTCATAATGATAAAACAGTGAATACATTATATACGTATGAGTTTGAGAAAGAGAATAACGTGAGAGCTCTAACTAGAATGATGTACGTGCGGAAATTATGTGTAGAACTCTTAGGCTTGTTCGCACCTCTACCTATATTACAATTAAGAAAGCTACACGCCTTGAATCAATTAATCAGTCAGTCCACTTATTGCAAATACAAAGTCTACTAATTACTAGTCTAATAAACAAAGATAATTACAACTAATTTGAACACAATAAATAATGTTCTAACATGCACCCTCCTTCTCCAAGACAATCCTTCCTTTTAAGTCATCAATGCATGCAAAAGCAAAATCGTTCCACCAATTCGTTGTTGTCATGTAAACAATATGATTGTTGATTTTGGTTGACAAGACATCGCCGCCGCATATTTGCGTCCGTTGTTCCTCCCGAATAGGTTCACAACGCACCATGCTCTTTCTCCACTGCCCTGCATTGTCCTCACCATAATCTCATGCACTATAGTCCTAACCTACAAAGCACGCGCCTCCGCTGTTAACCTCACAACATGTGCTTCTAACTCAATGTTGCACGTAGGTGTCCCTGTCTTTCTCCTACACGTGTCGTGCCGCCAATTAGGGATGGTCAATCGAGTGTAGGAACCGTGAGTCGAGGCAGGTAGTACAAGTTCGGGACAGGTTAGAGTCAGGTGCTAATTCTAGAAAACCCAAACCGGGCGAAGCAGATATTAAAATATTAGGGACCAAACATGTCTTAAAATTTGAAAAAGGGTACCCGAGACCGATCCGTTTTAAAATTATAATTTAAATAATTTCTATTACATTTAATATACTAAAAATATATTAAAGTTTTAAAAAGACTCTTAATTGAAGAAACTTGTGGGGGGCATTGAAAAGAGTTTCAAAATTCATACACATTTCTAAATTATTTTACCCAATTCTCTATTCAAAATTCATCAAACTTGTGAACAAAGACTCACATTCAATGAAGTGTGATTATTTAATTGTCTTAATTTTACTTACATTTCATGATTTATTAAGCTTTAAATTCTTTTTAGACATAAATGTAAAGTGATTAGTTTATATTTACGACTTTGTGATGCTATTTTTTAGTTTACAGGTGATGGTGTCTAATTTTATAGAATTCAAAATCTGGCTCTATTTAATTTGTGTGATTGGGTGCTATTTAATTTATAGCTTTGTGGTTACAGATTTTGCTAACTAATTCATTTTTTGTTTGTTTTTGGTGACATGGATATATATTTAGTTCGAGATTGTTATTACTTACTAGCAACTTTTCTCGATCATGTAGCAGTGTTTTTCACCTAAACAAAACGAGATGCTAGACAAAATCGGCTCATTTCAAACGAGGTGGGCAAGGGCTAGTTCATATTTTGAGAATTAATATACCTGTCACCTACCAATTTAAAGAAACTGTCCGTTCTTGATAATTTATTGCTCGGACCTACGCAGACCTGTCCACCCCTACCACCAATTCTTTCGCTTCTCCTCAACACTCGAAAGCGAAAAATCGAGCAACAAAATTTCCAAAAAGATAAAAATTCCACATGGGAGAATCCACACTACCTGATTATTGGAAGGCTAAAATGAAGAAATAGATTGTTTAATAATCTGAAGATTTAATTGAATGATGCTAAACATTTTGTGATTCGATAACATATCCAAATCTATTCCGGTAAAAATGTTGCATTCAACCAAACAAATATTATAACATTAACATATGATGAAAAATAGTTTTTTGACCTTTTTAACATTTGAAAATAAATTGAACACATACAAAATGCTTTCATTTTCTTAAATAAACACACACCAGGAACCCTAGACCATTAAACATCTGAAGACAAGCTCTGTTCCTAAATTCCTTCACAGATTACAGATCTGCAACTTTGGAGCTTCTGCCATCCTCTGTCGTTCCCGCCCGTTGATATCCGCTCTTCTGCCGAAATACAGCCTTCAAAATCTCATCAATTCGACGAACAAGCCGATCACTAATTCACCTCTGCCGTGCACCGCGCGCCACACCATTTTTTGCTAAAGTCACCGGAGTTCTGTGCCCTTCCCTTTCGCATCTAGACGTATACGGCCAACCATAGCCACGTGGGGTGTCTTCACATGCTCGAAGTGCGTCGCAATAGTGTTCCGTTGTCCGCCACGCGATCTCCCCCCAGGTTTGGTGTGTCCCTGCTTCGTAGGTGATGGCGGTGGTTGGTCCTAAATTTGTTATTTTCGAGTATAGGAGAGGCTGATTCAACATAAATTGAAAGAGGATAAAAGAGCAGCATGGCTCAACAGCCATCTTCCCGACTCAGTCGTCTGCTCACTTTGCTGGACAGTATCTTTTGACTGCATTTCGTTCCTTATATATATTTACGTTAAAAAAATGTCTACTTTTTATGGGTTGGATATGCACGTGGTTCAATCAATTTATAATACTATAAGTGTTGTTTCATGGTTCATTTTCGTTATATGTGTTTCTCTTGTTAGTTGGGAATTGGTTCCTATGTAAAAATTCTGGGTTTTAGGTTTTGTTTGTTCTTAATGAAAATAAAGCTGGTTCCACCCAAGCAACGAGATTAACAGCAGCAAGACAGATCGGTGAAATAGCCAAATCACATCGTCAGGACTTGAACTCTTTGTTAATCAAGGTATGGGTATATAGATGTTCATATTGGTACCTTTCTTCTTCATGTCATGTTCTCAATCTGCATAACCATTTCCCTCACTTTTATTTAATTAATAAAATGCACCTCATGCCACTATTACTCACTTCGATATACTTTGGACTCTGTTCAAGTTTGTCATCATCTATGATAACAAGAACATTGGAGGTATCCAAGAATTGCTATACATTCCATAGTTACATTAGTGTTTGTTAAAGAAGATGAGAAGAAATATAGGGTTTGTCTAAGAGATGAAATAGAAAAAGCTGTACACCATAAGATTTGATCTGTTTTACTAACCTTGAAATTACTTCAGAGTCTATTGAGTGTACAACACTTCTAATAGCTCCACATTGTTTGTATTTGAGCAATGCAATTGCGCCATAAGGCGCACCTCAGCTGTATTTGGGCCTGAGTCGAGAAAAGACATTGCTTATTTCACACAATTGTTTTGCTTACACAATTTTGATATGAAGCTTATGCAATGAGGCACTTAGAGGTAGGCAATTTTGGGGCAGGTTTAGGGATGATTTGAAATGGGCTGAAATTTTCTGGTCTTTGATCTGGTATAGTTTGGTCTGTTCTATGTGTATTTTATGATTGTCAAAGTCTAGTCTGGTCGGATTTGGTTGAGTTGGGTCTGTTTAACTCCGGTCTGATCTGTCTGATCTGGGATTGAAAATGGTCCAATTAAAAACGTCCTAAGTGTATTATTAGGGGCCACATAGCAAAAGGGCCCACTTTTTGTTATTAATATTGCCTTGTGCGCCTCCCTTTGCAATCTGCGTACCGTGTAGTCTGTAAATTCACGATTAACAGACTTAACCCCCTCTTTTCATATGCATATTTATCGAATCTGCACTGTATCCTATACAACTCTCCTCCTGCATTTGATCCCTTATTCAAAGCACTAGATAATGATGATTCGATATTTCTTTCACCATCTTATAAACTTACAGTTTTTATATGTTAGGAATTTTGTTTTAATCATCGTTCATAAATATTTACTAGTATGTGGTTTGAACTTTGAATGCATTACTTCACTTGTATTATGACCCCATTATTATAATGATTTTTTATTTTTTATTTTTTAATGTATATGTGTGTGTGTGTGTTTTACGCAATGCCTAATTTCAAACATTGGCAATTCATAATTCCAATATTCCTGAAGCAAGAATATATGTACATTCATGAGCCGTTTTACCAACCTTGGAACACATTGCACACCATTCTAGTAGCTGATATAGGTATACAAGGCCCAGAGAATAACAAAAAGTGAATTATTAGTAATATTGTCAACATTTAACATTTAAATGTATACTTTTATATAATGCTAGTAAACAGTATGGAGTAATAGGGTGATACTCCCTGTAATATTAGGTTGGAAAACAAGTGAACGTTTTGACTTAAGATACACTTACAGTACGTCTTAGAAAATATGTAAACTATATTAGGCTATGATTGCCCATGAATATTAAGGATGGTTATGGCTGTGATGGATTGATTGTTTGTGGTACTTCTGGAGTTACAGGAGCAATGCTGGCACATCTTACTTGTTGATTGTTATTGTATCACTATTGGCATCTATTTAGACCAAAGTTGCTGAAACCAAAGAACCGAGTCTTGCATATGCAATGACATTCACTGATGTTTTTGTAGCCACTTCCTTTTTCTTATTTTTTTTCATGAAATGAATAGTCCTAAATTTGTTACTAAAAAGAAACCCCTTTTGCCCTCTTATGAGGTTGTCAAATTTGAAGTCATGAGTCATAAGATTCATTTTTTAAATTATGGGTTGGACCATGTTATGAATTTCGAATAATAAAATATATTTTAGTAAAAACATTTACATTAGCGAAAAAAACATTAGTTCATATATCACATATGTCCTTTAAAATATTTGTCAAACTAAGCCGTGCATCAAATTCAAAAGAACCAAAGTATCATATATGTTCTTTGGATGTACAATATCCATCGTTCAACTTCATAGTCTAGTCTAGCTCATCATCCCCAAGTTTGACATTGGAAACTAAATTCTCTTCCCCTACCTCCTCAACATCTTTCAAGCTGTTCTTGTTCTGCATTTTCAATTATCTCTTGTACATCAATTTCATCTCCTAGTGTTGAATCTTCTTCAAATATTCTGGAAATTTAAGTTTCTTAGGGTTGGGAGTTCAAATGTCTTTATTTCGGAATTTAGCATTTGTCGTTTTGATAATTGAGAGTTTCCCTCCCATTTTATAAGAGAAAAGCAGTACAAAAATAATCCTAGTTGTGTGACCTGACTGGATTGAGGTTTAACCTACAACCTAATGGAGTTGTACGATTCGATCCTGGAATGATATTCTTGCATTTCATTGCGACATATTGTCATGTGACTCTGTACGTTTTTTATTCAGTAGATGATTTCCAGTGCTAGGTTGATTCATATATCATGAACTGTACAATGTTACCTACCTTGCTCTTTTATTTTGTAAGAATGGTCAATCTATAACAAACATTTAGTGTTACACTGTTATTACCACGGTTGTTATGACGTCGCCTAGTCGTGACTAGGCGTCCTGGCTGTGGGGAGTGGCCTCACTTGAAGAAGACCATGCGACTGTGGCGTCATCCTTGCATATGTTAGGTAAAGAGGTGACACCATATTTGAAGATTAGAAACACACACACCGAGCCAAAGAAAATGATCTATAAACTAATTTTTGGAAACTAATTTAATCAGAATGTTGCAAGTATAAACCCCTAATTAAACTCCAGTTGAAGAAGACAAGAAGCCTGGGTTTCAGAATTCATCACGCAGTCGAACTCCAGGAGAATATTAAATTGCTGACTGAAATGCTGCAGGTCCCGCCATTCTTCTTTCTTGGTCTTCCCGTTTTCCTCTTCATTTTTTTCATCTTTTCATCTAATGAAATTTTCATTTTGTTCCTTCACTTATATATTGCAGTTCCCTCCTTAGTATCTAATTATATATGTTGTATACTGCCATACCAAGTTTTTCATATCATATTTAATTATTTAGATTTCTTTATTCCAAATTCTGGTTTAGTACTTTAGCTAGAGTTCTTGATGATTCAGCCCTTGGATTCTTAAGATCGCAGTAGTTTGAATATTTTTATTGCTTATTCCAGACATATATTCAAAAAATGTAAAGATCCCCATATGACTCCCTTATGGAGTCATATGGGGTATTGTTGCACCATCATCAACACTCATATTTTTAGTGGGGCCCCATATATTTTGAATATATTTAGATGTATATTTTTGTATATTTAAATATTACATACGGTGCGGCTAGTCACCTGATTGTTTCCTAGGTGGGTGTATTGTTATCCAGGTGATAAGGTGGTCAGCTGGCACCACGCCTCACATTACTGCTGTGACAACCATGGTTACAAGAAAGAGATGTATTAATCGAGCAAATTGGATAAAAAGAAAGATATCTGCTCTTTAATATTGTCATAGTTGAGATTATATATACCGTTTTAATATTGTCACGTGTCATAGTTGATAGTTAAGGATGTGACTCTGGAACGATATCTTTGTATCGAATGATCCAATTAGAATTTAATTGTAGGTTTCCCAATATCTACGAAGCAAAAAGTGGGACACCAGGGTAGCTGCAGCTCATGCCATTGGGGCAATAGCAGAGAATGTGAAATGTTCATCTTTGACTGATGTATGTGGTTCTGTTGAGAAGAAACTGATAGAAGCTGGGATTTCTGGTTCAATTGAAGATTTAGTAGTATGGCCTAAATGTAATCCTAAGCTTCGAGGAGGCACTTCATTTGGAAGGTTCATATCTGTAATGGCCTTGTCATTATCTGACAAAGTGACAATATCTGTTTCCCTAATAACTATATACTCCCTCTGTGCCTACATAAAGACCCCTCTTTGAATTGCACGCATATTTAGTAAATTATTTTTACCTTTGACTTCCTGAAATGCCCCTTTTACTGAGGGTTAAATTTTAATGTAGAGTACACTGTTTGGCACAATTTAACACTGTTTTGCACTGTGCTGTTATTATTATTTAAGGTAGTAGAGTAAATTGATATAAATTTGTTTAATAAATACTCCCTCCGTCCCTAATAACTTTGCCAAGTTTGACCGGCACGAGGATTAATAAAGTAAAAACTGTGTGGTTGAGGTTTGTGCAGAGGAGAGAGAATTAACTGAAACCACAAATGCTTTACTTAAAGGGGAAAGTGGCAAAGTTAATGGGACATCCAAAAAAGGAAAGTTGGCAAAGTTATAAGGGACGGAGGGAGTAGTAAATAGGGATAGGGGACTTCATTTAAGGACATCCATAAAAGGAAAGTGAGAAGTTTATTTAGGGGGAGGGAGAAGCTGTTAGCTCATGTTCTCTGTGATCCACTGATTTCTGAACAGCTTGTAATTCAAATTTGATAAAATGATACTCACTACTTATTTACAATTTATCAATGCAGTTTTGATTTGAACAAAGTGCTGGAGTATGGTGCTTTATTGGCATCTGGGGGACAGGTAACATAACTTCTCTGTACCTATGCTGTGATAATTCACCATATTTGTTAAAAAATCCCAACTGAACAGTGCAAGAGGCAGGAATCATTCTTCAATTGAATTGCTTACGCGTTGCGCCCCATTTTGTAAAAGAATTTGCCTTTTGGATCAGTATATCCGAACCACGGCGCATGATAAAGTAATCTTTAGTTGTCTCTATTGTGTCTGTGTGTCTCATGGATGCACTAATTGCCTCAATTTTAGGAGTATGATGTTCCAGCTGACAACAGTAAAAATCCAAAGGAGAGAATTGCTCGACAGAAACAAAACCTCCGACGCCGATTGGGTAAATCTGCATAGATTTGTAATTTATGCTTCACAAATTTGCTTGATTTGAGGCCTTGTTGTGTTTTGTGGAAGGTCCACATATATGTGTATACACAGAGGTTTTCTATGTAACCTAAAATTGTCTTACCGTCCCTCCTACAACTCTTTATATTGATGACACAAATGTCCATTTTACCTTGTCTTCCCATGCCATGATTGTGTGTGGAAATTTCTACTTGACTGTGAAGCTTTGCTACCATATCCATGAACAATAACCATATATGGAGCATGTATTTCATATTTACATTTACATTTTTTAACGGAAGGGGAGCCTTGGCGCACCGGTTACGGTATTGGTGACTGAGAGGTCACGGGTTCAAGTTTTGGGAGTGGCCTCTTATCAAAATGACAAGTGAAGGCTTGTCCCTTATACACCCTTGTGGTGGGATCCTTCCCCAGACCCTTGCCATGCAGGGATGCCGATGTGGACCAGGCTGCCCTTTTATTTACATTTTTCACACCAGCTATAAAATGGGTCTTCAATTAAAATTTCTTATACTTATCAAAGGTTATAATTTGTTACTGTAGACACCAACATAAGGACACCTTTTGGCAAAAACAGGGGTTTAGATAAGATGTGATATTCAGCCACATGAATTAAGTTCTATTTAAAGCATTCTTGTCTTTAACATAGTGGCACTTGAAGTGATAATAATTTGATTATTGTTAAGTATTTATGGATAAACATTGTTATTCATATCACAGTTTGTCACTATAGCTTATCTGGAAATTTACTTATTAATCGCATACCAATTGTCACCTTTCTTCTTGACAGGGCTAGATGTGTGTGAGCAGTTCATGGATGTTAATGAAATGATAAGAGATGAAGATCTTCTGCTGCAGAGAGTTAGTTCTCCCGTTACTGGTGTTCCTTCTCAATATTGTTCACCAGGGCCTCACAGTAATATTAGGCATTTTGTTTCAAACATTGTGCCGAGTGCCAAAACACGTCGGCCAAGTGCAAGGGAACTAAATCTATTAAAGAGAAAAGCAAAAGTTGGTTCAAAAGAACAGAGTATAGGGTGGACAAAGGACGGAGAGCCAGACGGTCCACATTCACAAGATATGACTTCACCAAGGGAGGGGATTCATTCTGATGCATTGTGCTCTAATAAGGTGAATCCGTGGATGGAATGTTATATACCTAACTAGGTGGTTAATTATTGAAGAACAAAGAGAACATAACAAATGCACGCGTTGTCAATTCATGGTTAAACTGAATATCAATTTGTGGCTTATTCAGGAAACATGTTTAAATGCAGATACCCCTGGATACTGTATCTGATGAAGATCACTTGGAGAGTGATGGAGATTGGTGCTGGCCCTTTCAAAGCTTTGTTGAACAGCTCATGCTAGATATGTTTGATCCTTGTAAGTAACCGTATATTGTTACTGCATTTTGTTGTTTACTTGTGATATATGAACAAGAACATTCCTTATTTGTTTCTCAGTGTGGGAGATTCGTCATGGCAGTGTCATGGCATTGAGAGAGATATTAACCCATCAAGGTGCAAATGCAGGAGTTATTGCGCCTGATTTCATCCATGATATTGGATTAGATTCTTTTATTAAAGACAGGGTTCTTGAAAGGCAGGAAAGTGGAATTGATTTGAATTTCCAGGCCCCACTTCATGAGTCTGGACCAGATTTAAAGAAGCCCAAGATTGAAGATGCATCACCTGTTGTGATGGATGCAGTGTCTTTTGCCAGCAGGATGAGTACCATTGATAATATTCAGTCAATTGTTGAAGGTTTTGGAATGAATTTGCCAGTAGAGCAGGGAAATGGTGCATACGATCTTGTGTATACTAAAACAGAGGTTCAAACTTGCGCTAATAGCGTAAGTTCTATCTTTAATAATGATATGGTCGAGGCGAAGAGATCTTTTGAGGACAGTACTTCCTTGGAAAAGATTCACCTGCCACGAAGTCTTGCTGAAAATTGTGAGCTGATGAACTTGGTTAAATTGGCCAGGCATTCTTGGGTTAAAAATTCTGAATTTCTTCGAGACTGCGCAATTCGTTTCTTGTGTGTATTGTCACTGGACCGGTATGAAATTTTCTTCTGAGTTGAGTTTGAACTTTTACCTTTTTCTCTAGTGTTGATTCAATCACATTCATCTTTAAAGAGCTTCACAATTGAAACAAGTGAGAGTCGTGAGACATTAGTATACTCTGAACCAAGTATTTGGGTGGTGAGCATTCTTTTGTTGATTTGCTGGTGATGTATGATGCCGTCATTATCATAAGCCTTTATTTACCTATAATATGTTTTAATACTCCATACATATTTTCCTTCTTCAAAATTACAACCATTAAAGGAGGCACAATTACTAAGAAGGAAGCAGGAACAGAGTGAAAGTATAGAGCTTGTAGAAGAAAGAGAAGATAATTTAACTAGTGGGAGGAGCCTCTTGTACTTGAGGAACATTAATTGGATGGTATATAACCTGTTTGACTACCTTACCACTTCTTTGGAAGCAATTAGTGTAGATGGGAGAAAAGGTTGGACTGTTTAAACCTTTATGGGAATTGGCTTTATATTGATCTTCTGTTGGTTTTTATGATTTCCTTAAAGAAGAGGTCTTCTCATGAGGGAGAGCGAGTAGGAGGTATAAGATTCAGGGAATACTATATGGTTTCAGGATTAATCCATTCTATAGCTTTTCTAGACATTGACACTCCACACAGTGCTCTTATTTTCATTAAGTGCTCTTTTTAGTGGAGATAGAAAATAGGCTCTTTAAGCTCATTAGAACCTGCTAGCTCCTGCTCAATGCTGTTTCAGTATTTATTAATTTGTTTACATCCATCTTTCCTCTTGCTGCTTTCTCCTTGCAGTTTTGGAGACTATGTTTCTGATCAAGTTGTTGCACCTGTTAGAGAAACATGTGCTCAAGCATTAGGCGCTGTGCTTAAGTACATGCATCCTACTTTTGTTTATGAGATACTAAATATCTTGCTACAAATGCAGGTAAATATGAAATGAGTTAATCTTTAAGAATATGAGTTATATATTTGCTCTGGTTTTTGTGTTCTATCATAAGTAGATGGTGATGTCTTAGCTCAGGTTATGGTTTAGTGCACACTTTTATTTGTTAAAGCCTTCTGCTTCGTTTCCAGAATAGACCTGAGTGGGAGATTCGTCATAGTAGCCTCCTGGGGATCAAGTATCTGGTTGCTGTGCGCAAGGTATCATTTACACTGTTTCGTACTATTCTGCTGATAAACATATGTTACCTTAGTACTTCATTATGCTAGGGGCTTATTTGCTTGTAGCTGTTGCATGTCAGTTAGGTATACTATTTTGTTCATTTGAACTTTAAAATATGACTCATGTGGAACATAGGTCTACCGTAGACAATCATCACATGCCTAAATTCCCTTTTTTACTCTCTTGACTGACTACAATTTTCTCTAGGTCTACCGTGTGGATTGATCTCTTTTCATCTTTTTTATCCTTTTATCTTTTATCCTTTGTATTTATTCTTTTTATCTTATTATTTTTATCTTTACCTTATATTTATCTTTATCTTTATCTCGTCTTTTTTATGCTTTTTTACCCTACCTTATCTTTTTATCTTTGTGGCTCTGATTTCATGTGTCAATTCAGGTTGGCCGACCCCAAAATCTTTTGGTACTAAGGCTCCATTGTTGTTGTTGTTGATTGAACTGACAGCTGCCTTTTCTGACCTTTATACAATGATTTTAAGATGTACTTGCATCGGGGTTATTCTTAGAGAGTACCAAATACATATTTATACAATATTCTACTCTCATGTTCCATTATGTACATGTTGATTTTAGAATATCAATATGCACATTCATCGACTTCTTTTGAAACACTAAGATGAGGATGGTTTTGGAAATTCATCTCATCAGTCATTCTTTAGAAGAATGTTATAGGAAGAGCATCAGGGGCATCCCAATGTAAAGCTCTGCCATTGTTTTTTCATGATTTATAATGTTAATAATTTAGAGTATTGAGAATTACGACCTCAAAATATTTGGGGTCATGGTCATGACTGATGATGATGTTAAAAAGAAGATGCTTGGTTAGTTTTTAGCTGGTTTTTTGTTCATGCAATCTTTTATTTCTCAAGTGATTTTCTTGTTTTCTTATGTAATTTAATTTCCTTCAAATTCCATTTTAATTTATTGTATGATTCTTCCCTTGGCACCAGGAAATGCTTAATGATTTGCTTAGCTATGTCCTCCCAGCATGTAACACTGGGCTTGAAGATGCTGATGATGATGTTCGAGCAGTGTCTGCGGATTCTCTCATACCAACTGCAGCTGCTATTGTTTCCTTAAAAGGTCAAATATTGCATTCTATTGTTATGCTACTCTGGGATATTTTACTTGATCTGGATGATTTGAGCCCATCTACCAGCAGGTATGTGTGAGCCATTTCCATTCATTTTTATTTCTATGTTAAAGATAAACATGTATCTTTGGGCCATTGGGAAATAATTTCCATTAAAAAAAATTAGGCTCAATTTTTACCATTAATTTAATTTGAATCATTGTTATTTTGTCTGTTCTCTTTGGCTTTGTTTTGGTTATATTTTTTTCTAATCGCAAGTGCTTTGCAGTGTGACTGTAATCTTTGCTACGGCTATAAAAACAAGACTCACATGTTCCCTCAAAATTAAAATAATGCATTTAATTGTAGAATTTGAAACTAACATGCATATAGAAGGTATACCTAATTACCAATACCGCACTAGATATAATATTATAAAGCTAGCATGTTTTCACATTTTTCCAATTGTCCATCTTTTGATGTCGTTCTCTTCATGTTTCTTGCTCTTTCCCTCTCTAAGATCTAATTAATTTTATAATCTATTTCCATCTCCCAACTCTATAAGAGCTGGCATGAACGAACTTATGTGGTGATATTATTACAGTTTAACCATACTTGGTGAAACTTACATTTCATCTGTGGAATTGTAGTGTGATGAATTTACTGGCGGAAATTTATTCTCAAGAAAGGGTGATTTCAAAGACGTATGAAAACCTGCCATCATTGGGGAAACAAGAATTCAATCTTAATGACATTGGCTGTGAAGATGATATCGGTGTAGGAACTAGCTCTTTAGAGAACCCCCATACATTGTCGGTTCTGGCACCGCGGCTGTGGCCATTTATGAGGCATACTATCACATCTGTCCGTTATGCAGCCATTCGCACTTTGGTAGACCCTTCCTTAATTCAGGCTTCTCTTATGATGCTCGTAAACAATTTCCCACTGTTTCATATCTTTCACACAAAAATAGTTTTTGCTATTTTAACCAACAATCTTCTACTATCCCACATGTATCTATTGCTCTATATGCTGGGCCTAAATTGGATTTCTAGTTGAAACAGCCAATATTTTGCAGGAGCGTTTGCTTGAAGCAGGGTGTAGGAGGAGCTTATCTGAAGTATCTTACTCCTTCTGGCCTTCACTTATTCTGGGTGATACCCTTCAGATTGTTTTTCAGAACCTACTGCTTGAATCGGACGAAGAGATTCTGCAGTGCTCTGGTAGAGTTTGGGGGCTTCTTATCCAGGTTACTATCTAATGAGCACATAATGCTTGATATTCAATTTCCTTGAAGCTTTTATAGATATGCGTATATAGCAATGTATTGATACATCGTACTGCCAGTTCAGTTTTCTTAACAAAAAAAGCTTTATTTGCTAATAAAATAGTAAAATATGAATAAAGTTAATGTGTTGAGAATGCCATGATGGGTGTGTTTGGGTTCAATAAAGAAGCAGGATGAAGTTCTTCGTCTCTTCAGACTAAGTAGTTCATTTGTACTCAGTAGCATCTTAGTTAAAGGCAGAACAGTGAATTAGACTTATTGCTCAAGAGTAATAGGTGATTATCCGGTCCTGTATTAGTAACATTTAAAAAAAAAATTAAAATATTCTAAAAATATGTCTTATTCGCACACACACATATATGTATGTATATGTATGCATATGTATATATCTACATATATACACATGTTTATATATTTCTATGTGTGTGTATATACAGACATGTATGTGTGTGTGTATAGACACACACACAAAGCAAAAAAGGCAATAATCCGCAATACCTACATAACTCAGTGTCATCATAAGAATATTCCATCATCTTATCAATCCTAATCTAAACACATCTTGAGTGAGAACTTACTGTTTTAACTCTTAAGACTACTAAAGCCTTGCAAAAGTATTTTATTAAATTGGACCCAAGTTCTTTCTGAATCTCATAATGACTCATTTTTTTTCCAACCTTTCACATTTAATGACCGATTATTGGCCAAGTAACCTAACTAGCCGAGTCGCTAGAATCACTGAATAACTCAATTAATTGAATCAGACCAAGTAGGTAGACAACCTGTCAAGGCATTGGGATTGAGAGGCGAATACTGACCAATAAAATAACATAGTTTTTTAAGGACTGATATTTTAAGAATATATGCAAAGGATTATTGGTTGTGCTCGTATTGAAGGTTTAAATTTCACCGATTGTGCATTTATTTGGTGCACTTTCATGAAAAGTCTCATCATTTTTAATCATTCTGACAATCTGACCAGTTATTACATTTACTTCATAGTATCAATGGGTTTCTCTATTTCAATTTATTTCAGTGCCCATTAGATGACTTAGCTGATGCTGTGAAGGCATACTTTTCATCTTGGGTAGAACTATCAAGTACTCCTTATGGTTCACCTCTGGATACTACAAAAATGTTTTGGCCCGTGGCCCTTCCTCGTAAAAGTCATTTTAAAGCAGCTGCTAAGATGAGAGCTGTGAAACCAGAAAGCTATACCTATAATAACATTTCCCTCTGTTCAGCAGAAGGTACTAGTCTACAAGAAAAGAATATAGGCACTTCCACTCGTATCGGAAAGATAATTGTTGGTGGTGATGTGGACATATCAGTTACCCAAACACGTGTCGTCACAGCCACAGCATTGGGGGTTTTAGCTTTTAAGTTGGGTGATGCTTCTCTTCAATATGTTGTTGACCCATTATGGAAGGCACTTGCCTCTTTTTCTGGAGTTCAAAGACAGGTAGTGATCCTAAATTTACCAGCATGACCAGTTAGTATTTTGAACATTATCTTATTTCATTTTTATTGGTATATGCTCATTCTTTCTTCAATTGATTGAAGTATTGTGTATGACAGTATTTCAAAAATCTTTTTATTTTTATATTGAATGGTCATGTTACCTGCAGGTAGCCTCAATGGTTCTAATTTCATGGTTCAAGGAGTTAAAAGAAAAGGACAAATTGAAGTCTGAGGGGATTATTACCTGCATTTCCATCAATTTTGGGGAAAGGTTATTGGATTTGTTATCTTGCACAAACCCTGCATTTCCATCTAAAGGTTCAACTCTTCCATATGCTGAACTTTCAAGGACTTATGAGAAATTGCGCAATGAAGCACGTCAGTTGTACCATGGTACTCAGGCATATGGCATGCATAAAGACATAATGTCATCCACTAAACTTGACCTGGAGAGTTTGAGTGCAGATGATGCAGTGAATTTTGCATCTAAGCTTTACTTTGTAAATAATATAATTACTAGGGAGGAGTCTACGGGACAGAGTATTTTTGACGAATTAGAGACTATGAAGCAAAGAGTTCTGACAACTGGTGGATATTTGAAGTGTGTTCAGGTATGTTTAGGTTCATCAGCAAATGTTCATTGTGTACATCAATGATAATTGTGTTCATTGTGTATTCATTTAATGCTAGAATGTGCTTTCTATGCTTGTCTAGTACTTGTGTTTTTCTGGTAAACCTTTAGTATTAATTATTAAACATTGATATGTAGTTTTGATTGTCTTGTCCTTCCCTTTTTTCTCCATGCTTTGGGTTTGGGGAAATATATAATTTGCAGAACAATTTGCATGTTACCGTCTCGGCTTTGCTAGCTGCTGCTGTTGTTTGGATGTCTAACCTTCCGGCGAAACTCAACCGAGTTATTTTGCCTTTAATGGCATCTATTAAGAGAGAACAGGTAATATTATCAAATTAAACCCATTGTGATGACAAACTGTTCCTCTCTGTTAACACAGATTTGTATTCTATGAAATTTAAAGGATGAAATGCTACAAAGCAAAGCAGCTGAGGCTCTGGCAGAGCTTATCTATTGTTGTATGGACCGTAAACCTGGGCCCAATGACAAGTTAATCAAGAACATCTGTAGTTTGACATGCATGGATCCTTGTGAGACTCCTCAAGCTGGAGTTCTGAATTCTATTGAAAAGATTGAGGAGCAAGGACTTTTGTCCTTCAGAAGTTGTAGTAACAAGCAGATGTCGAAAGTTCATGTGCGTTCTCCAGGTGATGATCGACCAAAGGTTGAGGGCTTCATAAGCAGACGCGGAGCTGAGCTTGCTTTGAAATGTTTATGCGAAAAATTTGGCGGTTCATTGTTTTACAAGCTTCCTAAGCTTTGGGATTGCCTGGTAGAAGTCTTAAAGCCTCGGAACATTGAAGGTTTTAGCCGAGATGATGATAAGCTTATATCCGAAGTTATTGATTCTGTAAATGATCCTCAGACTTTAATAAATAATATTCAGGTAAAGGTGCTTCAACTTAATAACTTATATAGATTTCTTCTGATAACTTAAAACACAGTTACCAATGTTACATCAATTTTTCCTTGATAACGGTTTGTCAGGCCAATGCTGAGGTTTACCTATGTTTACATAAATTACTTAGGTAATATATTTTGTATCCTTCAATCAAATCCTTACATTGCTTCTTGTGTGTGTGCAATAACTGGTACAGTGGTACTCTGTATCCTTCATCTTCACTCAATTTGTTTATATTCAACAGCTTCATGTATCCTCGCAAAAGTTGTTCCAAAAGGTGGGGTGCGCTGATACCTATGCTCCAGTGTGGCTTGAACCCCCCTCCCCAAACCAACACACACTGCTTTTAGATGCAAAAGGAACTGAAAAATCTTCATGTCACCTATGCTTATTGGGGTTAATCACATCTCAGTGGCATTGCTCTCACGTAGTCACGTAGCGCAATTGCAAAAAAATCATCTCGTCTTGAATAGGATATTGATATTCCAGTTACATTTTGTTTATAGATCCAGGATATTTGAATAAGTTGGTACTATCAGATTCTTTTAATCACATAAGCTGTTGATATCGTTAATTTGTTATTTATCTTGCCTTTTCTTTTTTCTCTAGGTAGTCTGTTCCGTTGCTCCGTTGTTGGATGTGACATTGAGATGTAAACTTCTCACACTCCTTCCATGCATCTTTAGATGTGTTTGCCAACCTCACGTGGCTGTGAGATTGGCTGCATGTAGATGTATCACTACAATGGCCAAGTCAATGGCAGTGAATGTGATGATTGAAGTAGTGGAAAATGTGATCCCTATGTTGGGAGATATGTCCTCTGTTCATTCTAGACAAGGTGCTGGCATGCTTGTCAGCTTGCTAGTTCAGGGACTTGGTGTGGAATTGGTTCCTTATGCTCCGCTTTTAGTTGTTCCTCTTCTGAGATGCATGAGTGATTCTGATCCTTCTGTAAGGCAAAGTGTAACACATAGTTTTGCTACACTTGTCCCTTTGCTTCCATTAGCTCGTGGTATTTCTGCCCCTGCTGGTCTCAGTGACAGTTTATCCAGGAATCAAGATGATGTAAAATTCCTTGAGCAACTGGTCGACAACTCACATATCGATGATTACAAGCTCTCTATCAACTTAAAAGTGACTCTTAGAAGGTAATTCTTATGTGTACTTTCTCATCTATATCTTTTAATTGTGTATAGCCATACTTTGTTTTGCTCATTAATAGAAACTAAGCAGATGGAAGAATATTGAGATATGATAAACTTTGGTTAATCTATATTGAAAGTGTGTACAGGGTATTTATAAGCTGACAGCTCAACTAACTAAACCAAAGCCACAACAATTAGAACAAACTTATAACCGACTCTAACAGTCTATCTAACATTCCCCCCTCAAAGTTAGGGTGATTGAGCAGTAAAATCAATCACACTAAGTTTGTTCTTGAGTTCTAGAAATCTGGATGAAGATAGAGGCTTGGTCAATATATCAGCCAGTTGATGATGAGCTGGGATGTGAAAGACTTCAAGCTGCTTCAGATGCACCTTTTCTCTTGCAAAAAAGAGATCAATTTCCAAATGCTTAATTCTGGAGTGTAAAACTGGATTGTGAGCAAGCTGAACAGTACTCAGATTATCACAGTACACTCTAGGAATAGTGAATGGAACTTGAAGTTCTTTCAGTAGGAATTGAATCCATAAAAGCTCAGCTGTGGTGAGTTTAAGAAACTAAGCTCTTGGGGCTTGTTTCAGGCCATAGAGAGACTTATGAAGCTTACAGACCAAGGAAGTGTCTTTGACTTGAAAACCTGGAGGCTGCACCATGTATACCTCTTCATCAAGAACTCCATTTAAGAAGGCATTATTGACATCAAGTTGCTGAATAGGCCAGTGATTAGATACAACAATGGTGAGAAGAATTCTGATGGTAATGGGCTTAACCACTGGAGAGAAGGTTTCTCCAAAATCAAAGCCAAATCTTTGATGAAACCCTTTGGCCACCAGTCTGGCCTTATACTTATTCAGAGAGCCATCTGCATTTTCCTTGACTCTGTAGACCCACTTGCACCCAATAGCTTGCTTGTCTGGGGGTAAGGGAACAAGGGTCCAAGTGTTGTTGGCTAACAAGGCATCATATTCAGTTTTCATGGCCTCAAACCATTGAGGTGAAGAGAGAGCTTGCTTAACTGACTTGGGCTCAGTATGAGCTAATAGTAGTGTGGGATTAAGTCTAGGTTTAACTATGCCAGACTTGGCTCTAGTTCTCATAGGATGAATGTTGGTAAGAGGAACTAGAGGAACCGTAGAAGGAGAAGATGAAGAGGACTCATTATGAAGTGAGGGTACCTCTGGAGAAGAAGGCTGTGAAAAAGAGTCATGGTTCTCTTGATGTAGAGAGACAGATTGAGATATATCAGGATTATGAAAAACAGGTTGTGATGGATTAGATGAGGCTGAAGAAGAGAATTGAGTTGGAGAGGAAGATGATGAGGTGGTTAAAGGAAGTTGATGATGTTGAGGAATAATGGTTAGGGGTGCAGAAATGGAAGTTGGAACAGTTGATTGCTTAGGATCAGTGAAAAGTGTATTGTAAGGGAATTTGGATTCATTGAAGATAACATCTCGAGAGAGATATATCTTTCCGGAGGATGATAGGCATTTATAGCCTTTATGATTTGAGGAGTAGCCTAGAAACACACATTCTTCAGAATGGAAATCCAATTTATGTTTGTTATATGGACGGATTGAAAGGAAAACAGGAGCAACCAAACACTTTTAGAAAGGAGTAATCAGGGATAGAGCATTAGAGCCATATAGTTTGAAATAGGGGCTGAAATTGGAAATAGATTTAGAGGGTGTTCTGTTGATGAGGTGGACAGAGGTGGCAAATGCAGCATCCCAGAATTTAAGAGGTAGAGAGGAATGAGCAAGAAGAGATAGACCTTTTTCAACAGTGGTGCGGTGTTTGCGTTCAACAACACCATTTTGATGGTGTGTGTGAGGGCAAATAATTCTGTGATTGATTCCTTTTTCAGAAAGCATGTGTGTAAAGGCTCTAAATTCACCCCCCCAATCAGATTGAATAGATTTGATAGAAACAGAGAATTGATTAAGAGTGTATTGATAAAAGTGGGTAAAGGCTTGAAGTGCATCAGATTTTTTTTTGAGAAAGTATATCCATGTGTATCTGGTGTATGCATCTATAAATGAGATATAGTATGTATAACCATCAAAGGATGTGATAGGGGCAGGTCCCCACAGATCAGTAAACACAAGTTCAAAAGGAGAATTAAAAACAGTAGTAGAAGAGAATGATGGTAATCTGTGAGCTTTACCAAGACAACATGCTGAACAAAACTCAACAGTGTTTTTATTTATATAAGGAATATTACATTGCTGGAGAACAGTTTTCAAGGCCTCAAAATGAGGATGGCCTAACCTTAAATGCCACAGATTACATGCTTGAGAAACATTACAAGATTTGAGATTATTACAAGAAGACAAAACAGAACTAGACATTGGTGAAACAATAGTGGACTGAACTGGTGAAACAGACTAGTGAAGACCAAGAGCTGGAATTGACTCAAACTTGTAAAGACTATCTTCTCCAAGGGAACCATGTAAAAGAACCTGTTTAGAAACCTGAGATTTCACAAAGCAATCATAAGGATGAAATTCAAAAAAGACATTATTGTCTTTGACAAACTGACTGACACTAAGAAGATTTTTAGTAATAGAAGGAACATGAAGAATATGATTAAGAGACAGATATAGAGATGATTGATAAGGTGAAGGAAAAGTAGAAAAACCTATAGACTTAATATCCACACCTTGACCATTGCCCATAAAGAGCTTGTCAGTAGTAGCAAGAGTCTCACTGTGTTGAAGGTTGAGGGGATCAGCAGTAACATGATGTGTAGCACCAGAATCAGGGAACCAAGTTTGAGCTTGTGGTGGGGGTCCAAGGACAGAAGGAGTAGCACAGGCCCAAGCAGCACTTGGTGAGGGATTGTATGACTGTTGATTCCAGGTGATTTGGTTTTGTGGATGCAAGTTGGAATATGGTGAATGTGGATTAGTAGGGCTGGATCTAGGAAAGTTTGAGGCAGTAGGATTTAAGTTGTGTGAAGGTGGCCTTTGTGAAGGTGAAGTGAATGAAGGATTTGAGTACTGTGAGTACTGAGAGTGCTGGTTCCATTGGTTAGAGGAAGGAGGAGTATGAGGAGCATTGTAGGCTGGATTATAGCGATGGTAACAGATCAATGCATGATGACCAGTTTTCCCGTAGACTTGGCAAATTATAGAATTTCTTCCACCAGAGCGACCACGACCTCTTCCAAAGTGTCCACGACCTCTACCTCTATAGGAATGATTGTCGGGATTATTAAACTGAGCTACCTGAACAGAAGCATTATCTGAAGAAGTTTGAGAAGCTTGATGAGTAACTTGAGGAGATATTTCCAGGCGAGCAACATTAGCAGAGAATAGAGTTTGTTGCGAAGAATCTCGAAGTTTTTGCAGTCGCATTTCTTGATAGAGTTGGAGGATCTAGAACACTTCGTGAAGAAATGGATGATGCAAGAGATTCGTATTCTTCAGGAAGACCTTCAAGGATTACATTGATGTGATCCTTGGAGGAAATAGGCTCTCCAATAGCACTGAGGTTATCTGCGATAGTTTGAATACGAAGAAGATAATCTGAGATTGATCTGTCACCTTTGGTTGTGTTGTATATAAGATGTGTGATTGAAAATGTTTGTTGATTTCAGTCCAAAGTTGGTGCGAATGTTTACAATGGATGACGCGAGCGTGAAACGGCTCAGATAATGACGCAAGGAGCCACGAAAACAACATCTGGTCTTGTTGTTCCCAGGTGATGTACGCATCATTCTCGATTCCATTTGTTTCATCATCGGGACTGGCAAAACGATCTGGAATAACATGTTTGACAAGAAACCGAAGTAGTTTGTGTGCTCGTACAACTGATTCGACGTGATGTTTCCAGAAAAGAAAGTTGTTAGAATCAAGTTTTACAGGAAGAGGACGCGTGAAGGAAGAGGATGCGTGAAGGTGACTGGAGATACAGAAGCTCCAGTTGAGGTAGAAGAATTGGATGAGGTGGTTTCCGTCGTGATCGCCATTAATGGATCGAGCGAAGCTCTGATACCATAATAGAAACTAAGCAGATGGAAGAATATTGAGATATGATAAACTTTGGTTAATCCATATTGAAAGTGAGTACAGGGTATTTATAAGCTGACAGCTCAACTAACTAAACCAAAGCCACAACAATTAGAACAAACTTATAACCGACTCTAACAGTCTATCTAACACTCATGTCTGATTCTTCTATATTTATTGCATTTATTCACGTTTTATCTCGCTTTGTACTTTTTCAACTTTCAAGTGTTTGCTCTCTTTAGTTTATCCAATTTAATTGACATCTTGCCTTTTCATTTTCACTGTTGTGCTTAATGTGCTTTTATCAAGTTCTTGGTTCACCATTTACTTTCTGTTGCCTCGCTTCTTTGTTTATATGACAAGAACCCTTTATAGTATGAATTCTCATATTGATAAAAGGATACTTAGAAAATTCTAGAGAAAATACACGTATATATTAAATTGTGGTGCATGGGTACATTTAAACGTACACCTCCCTTTCCCCATTTCATTCCTTTATTGATAGGCTTGTTTTCATCTGCTCCTCTTAAATTTTAGCTAAGTAATTGCTTGTGGCACCTTCAGGTATCAACAGGAAGGTATTAACTGGTTAGCTTTTTTGAAGAGATTCAATCTTCATGGCATCCTATGTGACGACATGGGCCTTGGAAAAACCCTTCAGGCATCGGTGATTGTTGCATCTGATATTGCAGAGCATATTGCTGCAAACACTGCTAGAAATCTCCCACCATCTCTTATAATATGTCCCTCTACCCTTGTTGGTCACTGGGAGTACGAGATAGAGAAGTTCATTGATGCTTCTTTAGTAACTACCCTTCAGTACTGCGGTTCTGCTCAAGAACGCATATCTCTTCGTTGTCAGTTTAATAAATATAATGTTATTGTTACATCGTATGATGTTGTCCGCAAAGATGTTGACTCTCTTAAGCAGCTATTCTGGAACTACTGTGTTCTAGATGAGGGGCATATCATAAAGAATTCAAAGTCAAAAGTGACTCTTGCTGTGAAACAATTGAAGGCACAGCACCGTCTCATACTGAGCGGTACTCCAATTCAGGTTTGTCATCAATGTGAGCTTCACTTGTTGGCGTTTAAAATGGTTCAATATTGGATTCTAAGTACTTCTGACGAATTGCAGAACAATTTGTTGGATTTGTGGTCTCTTTTTGACTTCCTCATGCCAGGATTTCTTGGAACGGAAAAACAAGTAAGCCATTAGCCAACGTTTAGTTAGATTTCAACCCATCTTCTCTCTCAAAGAAAATGGAAGCGCCATCATTTTACCTCATTGTATTTGTTAAGTAACTTCATTGTAGGTGAACCTGGATGTGATTGCGTTATTGCTCCTCCCTCAGAACATGAAACAATATGATATTGACTGAAACATAGATGGCTTTTGGACATTAAGAATCTGTAATTTATATTGATAATATTTGTTTATTTGCATTTTTTTATTTAGAATTGAATGTGCATTTCTTCCTACTTTTTTTATTTATACTGTTCATGCCATTTACTTTTTCATCTTTCATGTCTTACGGGATTTCCATTGTATTGCTTTATTTGCCATTTTGTGATCTCCATAATCAGTAGTTGAAGTTGTCCCATAATGTGTTGTTCCACCTCCTCCACGTTTTGTGGGGGCAGGGTGAGGGGCATAAGGGATTGTGTCCCGTCTTCATGTCCACCATGACACCCGACTCAATGCCTCTTTGATAGGATTTTTCTATTCGAATTGAAGCAAGCTTTTCCTGTCCAATTGCAGTTTTTGAAGGTTTGATTATTGCCTTGTAACCATAATGGTAATCACTTCTAGCTCTTGGCTCAATTGACTCCACTTTTTAATGCAACAGTTCCATGCATCCTATGGTAAACCACTGCTAGCTGCAAGAGATCCCAAATGTTCAGCTAAGGATGCTGAAGGAGGAGCACTTGCCATGGAAGCATTGCACAAACAGGTGAGTTAATGTCTTCTTACCATTTCTTATGGATATAGAGGGTTGTTTCTGAAGGGTGGGTATCCATACAGGTGATGCCTTTCCTTCTTCGCCGGACCAAAGAAGAAGTGTTGTCTGATTTACCAGAGAAAATCATCCAAGACAGATACTGTGATCTGAGCCCTGTTCAGCTAAGACTTTATGAAAAGTTTTCCGGTTCACATGTTAAGCTAGAGATTTCCAGCTTGGTGAAGGTCAATGAGTCTGACTCGGGACAAGGAGATGATGTACCCAAAGCGTCTTCTCACGTTTTCCAGGTAAGTGGAGAATAATCTTCAGCACCTGTATTCGATGTTCCAAAATGCTCTAGGTGAGTAGGTGGATATAATCTTCAGCACTTGTGTTTGATGTTCTAAAATGCTCTAGGTGGAGTATAATCTTCAGCACTTGTATTTGGTGTTCTAAAATGCTCTAGGTGGAATATATTCTTTAGCACCTATGGGGTTTCAAATGAATATAATGTTCTGTGAACAACTTGTATTAAGGTACCTTCATGTTCATAAGTTCATTTGGTGATGGAAATGAACATGGATGAGACTTGTTTTGGAGTGAATAATAAATGAATAAAAACAATGTACTTTGAAAATGAGAAAGCTCATTTGATAAAAGCTCGTGAGCAGCTCAATGAGCAGTTCCTGGACACGCTCAGTTAAAGCTCTCATAATGGTGTTTGTGAACAAGTGTGATAATTGATCTTTTAAAGTTCATGTGTTTTCTTGTGATTTGTAATTTGTGATAAATGATTGATTGTCTAAATGATGTGAAATTGAGTCTTTTGTTCGTTTATTAAGGTATGTTTGTTTGTCCGTTAATTATTTGTGAACTAAGTAGCACTGGTACGGAAACGGAAACGGGGACGGAAACGGGAACGGGGAAACGCTAAACTCAAAATATCAGGAAACGGGTACGGCAAGGAAACGTCAAACTAAAAATTAATGTTTTTACTAATACAAGTAATGTATATGTCTAACAATTAGAAAATAATTAAACAACACATAGAAACAATTGAAATTGAAGCAGCGGATCCTCTCACCCAAAAACCCCTTGCCTTCTGACCTTCTCTTCTGACCCGTCCAACGATCCAGGGAGTCCATGGCCTCCAGGCTCCAGGCGATGACGATGGTCTGAACTCTTCGCAGAATCGTTCGCAGTCCAAATAACCCTTACGCAAGCGATCCAGGGAGTCCAGGGCCTCCAGGCTCCAGGCGATGACGATGGTCTGAACTCTTCGCAGAATCGTTCGCAGTCCAAATATCCCTTACGCAAGCGAAGCAAGCTTCGTTCGCACTTCGCAGAATCAGAAGCGTAGGTATTTTTTACCAAGAAGACATTAAACCGATCGATTGCCAAACCTTTTTTTTTTAAATTTCAGAAGAAACGCGTTGGCCCATACGGAACGCCGTTTCCTAAACGTTTCCCAACCCGGCCCAACAACCCAATACCTCAGAAACGTTTCCAGTCGTTTCCACCGCGTTTCCCGGCGTTTCCCGGCGTTTCGCGTTTCCGAAACATTTCCGGGACGGAAACCTCCCCTCAGTTCACGTTTCCGTGCTTCCTAGTTTGTGAACAAGCTAAAGTTAAACAAGCTTGTTCGTGAATGCTAGATGAACTAACATGAACCCAAAACCTGAAATTTTAAGCTTGGCTCGGCTAAATTTTTTTGTAAACACACAATCTCAAGCTGTCATAAGTACTTACTGAACAATCTGAGCAATGCTTAACATGGCTCTTTCATTTCCTATGACTACAGAAGTGATGACCTTTTTTGGGGGGAGGGATTTCGACATAATTACATATTACAAAATAGAGGTCATTGCTGCATTTTTTTTTCAAGTTACGACTAACCGTTTTTACCATAGGACACAAGTTAAATAGAGTATTCTTGTATGGTGGTCTTACTGTGTGCTCTTTTATTTCAGGCAATCCAATATTTGCTTAAACTTTGTAGCCATCCACTTTTAGTGCTTGGTGAAAGAATTTCTGAGTCCATATCAACAGTTCTATCAGAGTTTATTCCTGATGGTTCAAGTGGTGTCTCTGAACTCCATAAACTCCACCATTCTCCTAAACTGGTTGCCCTCCAGGAGATTCTTGAAGAGTGTGGAATTGGGATTGATGCTTCGAGTCCTGGGGGGGCTGTTAATGTCGGGCAGCATAGAGTACTGATATTTGCACAGCATAAAGTAATTTCTGCTTTTTAATATTATACTTTATTATATACACACATCACACATATACTAATATACATGTATTTATATATATATATTTATGTATATGTAAATTGATGTATATGTATGTATGGATATACGATGCCAAAATGTTTGTGTTGTTTTCCATCTATAATATAACTCTATGAAGAATTTGACTTTGTTCAGCAATGCAGGCTTTTCTGGACATTATTGAGAAGGATTTATTTCATGCTCAGATGAAGAAGTAAGCAGCCTTCACTTTTTGTGATCTTAAATTTGTTAGTTATCCCATGTTTTTAATGGGGTCAGTTTATTCACGTTCGTCCATGTTGCAACTTCGTGGTCGTTGTCCATGTCATAACTTTGTGGTGTAGTTAACTCTAGAGAAGCTGTTTATTTGTAGTCTAAAGAGAATCTATTGTTTTTTGCACAAGTAGAGTAAAGAAACAAAAAATCAAGATATGCAAAAGTTTTTAACAGTCCAAAATAAGATCTCTATAATTATTTTTCAAAAAGAATAAACTAAGATCTTCTGAAGTATAAACTTAGATCTCTATATTATTTTTTACCAAAAGAATAATAATAATAATAATAATAATAATAATAAAACTAAGATCTATACAAGCTAATAACTGTCCAAAAGCATTGCTGAAGTATGTGACGATCCAAAAACTTAGATCTCTATTCAAGATTAGAAAGAGGCGAAAGCTAAGATCTATACAAGTTTATGAAGTGAGAAAAAGAAAGATCTATACAAGTATAAAGAGAAAAGCGAATTCAATAAAGTTTATAGTCATCCAAAAACTCTGCTGAAAATTATGACAATCCAAAATTAAGATCTCTGTACAAGCTCATTAAGAAATACAACTGATCTACACAAGTTTATAACAGACCAAAAACTTTGCTGATGTTTATGAAAATACAAAACCTAAGACCCCAAACAAGTGTAATGAAGACACAAACACGGACATATTTCAAGCTTATAGCAGTCCAGGAACTTTCCTTTAATTAATGCCAATCCAAAAACTTATCTAAAGATGTTCCTCCATGTAATACATGTTTCAAATTTGTGGACAAATTTAGAAGTTGCCCCATTTTATCATGCCCCTTTATTTATCCGTCAGGGTTTCAATTTGGTTATATTCAACATTTCATTTTCTGAAGAGACATTTTTTTTGTATCAGTGTCACATATTTGCGGTTGGATGGATCCGTTGAGACAGACAAACGGTTTGAGATTGTAAAAACTTTTAATTCTGATCCTACTATTGATGTCTTGCTTCTTACAACACACGGTAAGTTTATCATCTATTACATGTTTACCCCATGTAACATATAACTGTAATTGCGTGTGTTTAAAACTTGACGTGAATCATAATGCAGTTGGCGGTCTTGGGCTGAACCTGACATCGGCTGATACTCTTGTGTTTATGGAGCATGACTGGAATCCAATGCGTGACCATCAGGTAATTAGCACGCATTTTTGTTTTTCATGTATTCCTTGTTTGATTATAGGGGGATTTGGATGTGATTAAAATGGACAATATTTGGTTCAATAAAGAATCGTAGAGGAATCAGATTTTTGACAATACGTCAAATCAATTAATTTGAAATAATTTTTAATATGATTAGAAATATACTCCCTCCGTCACTTATAACTTTGTCAAAGTTGACTGGCATGTGGAATAATAAAGTAAAAATCGTGTTGTTGAGGTTTGTGCAGAAGAGAGAGAATTAACAGGAATCACTAATTTTATATAAAATGGAAAGTGGCAGAGCTAACGGGACAACCAAAAAAGGAAAGTTGGCAAAGTTATAAGGGACGGAAGGAGTATAAATCTACTTGACTACATTTTTTGTTTTTACTTCTTCAATAAGAGATTAGGAGACTATTAGATTTTCACGTTGAGCAATGCTCCCAAATCAGAGTGTTTAGGGTTTGGTTCGGTTTTTAGTTCTATGGTGTGTGACGGTTGGGAAATTATTAACAGATTATAATCAAACTATATTTTTGTTTAGTCCGGTTTGGATTTGTTGTTTTTAAAAACATATGACAGCTTCATTGATTTTTACAGTTTGGTTTTATTTGTTTTTTCGTTTGGTTCGGTTTAAACGGTTTGGAGAAAATATTATCAAACTAAAAAGTGTTCCTTCCAGCCCAAGGCAAATCACTTGGAGCAATAACGTAAAAGGCATTGATGAAAGATGGTAAAAGTGGGGTTGAACCAAAGACAAAAGAGTATAAGGTTGCCAAACTACAACACCACTTATGTATTAGTGATAACAATATGATGATGTATCAATGTAGAATAGCTTTGGCAACGAAAACTAAAGCAAATAAGAAAAGATAGTCCAAATTGTGAGTAGAATTTGTGTTGCTTGTCCAAATCCCCCCTCCCCCTTTTCCAGAAACTTATCCACACTTTTCTCTCCTCTCCTAAATCCTCCAATGAAACAAAGTCAAAGTTTTATTGGGGTGCAGTTTGAGGGAACTGCTAATATTGTGTATCAATGCGCATGCAAAAAAGGATTTGGCTCTAAAAGCGCTCCCTCAACTGATTTTTATTAGAAGTCTTCACTAAGTGTGGGGATGTCTTCCTATCTTTTCACAGGCAATGGATAGAGCTCACAGATTAGGGCAGAAAAAAGTCGTCCATGTTCACCGCCTAATAATGCGAGGGACCTTGGAAGAGAAAGTTATGAGCCTCCAGAGGTTCAAGGTGTCAGTTGCTAATGCTGTAATTAATGCAGACAATTCCAGTTTAAAAACAATGAATACAGACCAGCTGCTTGATCTATTCACACCAGCAGATGGAAAAAAGGTGCGCCCACACATGATTATCAATTTTGTTGTTGAGTGTTTTCATTTTATCTATCCTATCAAGATTCTGAAGATGTGACAGGATGCAACTAGTGGAACCTCTCAACTTGTGTCCAGAGAGGGGTGGGCCGTGGGCATTTCAGTCCATTTTTTGGATTGGTTCAAATTGGGGTTCGGATATAGTCGGTTTTGGTTCGGTTTAATAGGGTTTTGGAAAACATAACGTATTAAAACTAAACCAAAATTACGTTTTGGTTTGGGTTCGGTTCAGTTCGGTCAAACAGAACTGAAATGCCCAACCTTCGTTCCGAATAGAAGAGAGATGTGGAACTGTTGATGCCTTTTTATCTATGTTGTGTCTCAAAAAGTTGTCATTTCAGGCTCCAAATGCTTCAGAGAGAACTGATGATAAATTGGAAGGGGAACAAAAGTGGTCACGTGGTGGGAAGGGATTAAAAGCCATTCTTGGAGGTTTGGAAGATCTTTGGGATCAATCACAGTATACTGAAGAGTATAATCTCAGCCACTTTTTAGCGAAGCTTAATGGTTGATGCCCCAAATGTTTAGCCTGCTCTGCAACCCTTTTTGTCATGGCAGTACGATAGGACTAAGAAACGATATCACCGACCACAAAAAATGCAATACAAGAAAGAAAGGAAGCTAATATGAGCTTTAAAGAATATCACCGACTACACGAGTACAGCTTTTCATGGAGCCTGCAGTCTGCACTCACTTCTCCTGATTTGGAGATACCTGGGGGATTTTAGGTCAATAGCCTTGTACAAATTGTGTATATTCTGAGTCACGGCCCAATTTTCCTTGAAAACTAGTGATAGATGTGTTTCGTTTGTTTCATCCACATGAAATCGAAGTCGTTTAGGTTATGCTAACTTAGAAAATATCACGTCTTTTTGGGAGGGCATTTCTCTGCTTGGTTGAAGCAGGCAGGTTGCTGGGGTTGAGGAAATTTTGTAAATTTTGAATTCTTTGTACATACATTGAGGCTCTGATTATTTAATCTGATAGAAAGGGAGAAAAAGCAAAAAGAAAAACAGAATGCCTTGATTAGGCAGGAGACTTATTTATCTTATTGTGGAGGTTTTTATTCGGCTTTTAACGGATGCCAGTGTTGTCGTGAGTCTCGTGACTAGTGGTGGACTGGGTTGGGTCTGGGCTGGGCTCTAGGCCGGGACCAGGTGGGCTCCGGGTCCTTTAATATCAGTCCTGTACTCCTGGTACCGGCCCGGTTATGTACCAGGACCAGGTTGAGTTGGGCTACCTGGTTGGGCTTCAGGTTGGGCCCGGGTTGGACTGCTAAATTTAATTTTTTAACTAATTCACGTGTCACAAGAAAATACAATGTATATTTATTGAAATATGAAGTGCAATTGATAATTGAAAATAATTTCAGACATTAAATACATTTGATAAAAATCAATTAGAATCTCTGCCAACGTCGCTACTGTTTGGGCCTGGCCCGGCCTGGTGAACCGGTTCCGGGCCCGGTTTGGGTCAACCGGCCCGGTGGGATGGCGGTTCAGGCTCGGGCCCTTCAAAAGGTGAACCAGCCTGACCGGTTCGGGCACGGGTCGGGCCAATTTTTATTTTTTATGATTTTTTTTAAGTTTTTGGGTTAGGCTGGGTATTTTGGGCCATTTGAGGTGGTTAGGGTTGGTTTGGGTGTGAGGGGGAGGGTTGGGGGTTAACTAGGAAAAGCCAAAAAAATAAAAATAAAATAGAACCAAGGCCTTGCCCGGCCCGGCCCGGACCCGGGGGTTACCCGGGCCGGTTCCGGGCCTCCCACTCTTGAACCGAGGCCCGAACCGGAACCGGTCCATGCCTAAACGTCGATCCTTATTTCTTTCATGAAGTGGCGGTTGGGGGTGATGCAAACTTTTTGAATTTTACGTTGTGTCTTCAACCAATTGTGAAAGTAAATGAGCGTCTGAGGACAATTTGCGGTCAACTTTGTTATATAATCGGTGATGATGTTGTTGGCTTCGCTGAATTCTTGTTTCTATGGGTGGGCATAAAATCTGATCTGAATCGGTACCGAACTGTTTCATAATGGCATCGAACCGAATAACGGGTATTTAAACGGTTCTATAGATTTTTATCCCGTATCGAAACTGTATCGTTTGAAACGGGTACGGGACCGGTCCTAGATTTTGAGAATCGAAAAATACTGGACCGAACGGTTCGTAAATAATGCATTTGAATTTTTTATATTTTTTTATATCAATTAATCAATAGATCTAGAGTTCTTGACCAACAATTTTATACCCCAAGTATCTATTAATGTGTCCCTAAGATATCTAAAATGTGTTATATATATATATATATATATATATATATATATATATATATATATATATATATATATATATATATATATATATATATATATATATATATATATATATATATATATATATATATATATATATATATATATATAGGGGAGGGTTCAAATACAAAGAGGTCTTCCCATACAAAGTGAGAATTAATCTCGTGCGTTCATTTCGAGATCCAATGACTCAAAATGAGCCAAAAGTGAACTAAAATTGATCAAAAACGCGGTGGCAATTTCGTAATTAAAACGAAATTTTTTGCCATCGTGAAAAAGTGCAACAGAAACACGCAAAAGTGCAACGCGGTGCTGAAAAAGTGTAATTGTTTGCACTTTGCACGGGAGAAGCTCTTTTTATTTGATCTCTTCCCTATATATATATATATATATATATATATATATATATATATATATATATTTATATATATTGTTAGTTTTTCTTTTTAGATAATTTATGTTATATTTTGGTATGTACTGAAAGAATATTAAAATTTTACAAATCATTAATGATTATTTATTTTTAGTAATGTAGTAGTGTACATGACTTTTTGTTGTATCATGTTTGTGCATTTTTTACAACTTAATTAATATGTTTTAAATCTTAGCTCTCAAGGTTCAACTACTTTAATATTTTAATCTAACAATTGTTATATGATTAACATTAGTATGTACCAAATATGGTTAATTAATATGATAATGTAACAAGTATAGTAAAATTAACTAAAATGCAACTACTTTAATATTTTAATCTAACAATTGTTATATGCTTAATATTAGTATGTAACAAATGTGGTTAATTAATACTACCTCCGTCCCGCTATGATTGTTCCATTTTACCGTATCCGTCCGTCCCACTAAGATTGTCTCATACCAAATTTGATAAAGTTTGTGTGGTTCTAAATCATTCTTACTTTATTCTTTTTTTATCAATTCAATATCAACCACATACACCACTTTTTATTAATTTGCGTGCAACTCCCTCTTGTCCCATTGTTAGCGGGACGGGGGATATGATAATGTAACAATTATAGTAAAACTAACTAAAGTGCAACTACTTTAATATTTTAATCTAACAATTGTTATATGATTAATATTAATATGTAACAAATATGGTTAATTAATATGATAATGTAACAAGTATAGTAAAATTAAGTAAAATGCAACTACTTTAATATTTTAGTCTAACAATTTTTATATGATTAATATTAGTATATATGTAACAAATATGGTTAATTAATATGATAATGTAACAAGTATAGTAAAATGAACTAAAATGCAACTACTTTAATATTTTAATCTAACAATTGTTATATGATTAATATTAGTATATCTAGGAAAAATGGAAAATAATAATCCCAATTATTGCCGTTCCGCTACTAATTATCCTAACTATCGATTATTCCTGGGTGGTCCTAACTATATGGAGCATTTTCCAAAAATAGTCTCTAACCTGCTACAACCTGGTATAGCAGGTCAAATTTAAATGTGAACTATGCGTAAGCTATAAATAATCCCAACTATAGTCGATCTTCTTTTATTAATCCCAATTATCAACTCTCAATTTAAAAAAAATATAATAATGTTTTTTTTAAATTTCCAAATTAAATATTTTTAAACATGTAAAAATAATTATGAAAATTCTAAAAATTTATCGAAGTTAAATAAATTTTTTTAGTCATTTTTTATTTATTTTCACTAAAATTTCTTTTTTTTTCCAATTTAGTTTTTCTAGTTTTGTTAACAAATTATGATTTTTGCATTATTTTCCATTATTCAAATTTACATTTTGTGTTTTTTAAAAATATATTGTGATAAAAATTACGATTTAAATCTTTATTTTAGATTTTTTCATGAAAATGAATTTTATTAAATTGTTATGCTATCTTAATTGTAAAAATAAAAAATTCTCTAGTTTTTCAATTTTAGTATTTTTAATTTCTTTCTATTTTCTTTATTTTATGTTATTATTATATTCTATAAATTATATGATATAGTTTATCATTGACTTCTAGTGATTCGGGACATAGGATTTGGAGATTTTGGCTATGTTAATGACAATAAATTAATATTTTAATTTTAAGCGATACACTTTTTCTACATATTTTACAAATATTAATAATAGCCAAAACTTCCATTATATCATTTAAAATTACAATATTAATACATTTTCATTAAAAATAGCCAAAACTTCCAAAACCTATGCCCCAAAATCACAAAAATTGAACGATAAACTATTTCATATAATAATATATAAAACATAGAATAAATTACAAATACTAAAATGGATAAAATAGAGAATTTAGATATTTAGAAATAACATAGAATAAAATTTAAATAAAATATATTTTTATAAAAAAAATTAGAATAAAGCTATCAATCATAAAAAATTTAGTCACATCTTACTTTTTGAAAACTGAAATTGTAAAATTGAATAAAGGAAAATAATACTAAATCATAACTTGTTAACACAACTGAGAATAATAAATTGGAAAAAAGAAAATAAAAATAGCGAAAATAAATAAAAAATGAATAAAACTATTTCATTTAACTTCGGTACATTTCGGTACATTTGTAGAATTTTCATAATAATTAATACATGTTTAAAAATATTTAATTTAAAAATTTATAAAAATATTTTTATATTTTTCTATAATTGGGATTAATAAAAGAAGATCAACTATAGTTGGGATTATTTAGAGCTTATGCATAGTTCGCATTTAAATTTGACCTGCTATACCAGGTTGTAGCAGGTTAGGGACTATTTTTGGAAAATGCTCCTATAGTTGGGACCACCCAGGAATAATCGATAGTTGGGATTATTCATAGCGGACCGGTAATAGTTGGGATTATTATTTTCAATTTTTCCTAGTTAATATGTAACAAATATGGTTAATTAATATGATAATGTAACAAGTACAGTAAAATTAACTTAAACACAACTACTTTAATATTTTAATCTAACAGTTGTTATTTGATTAATATTAGTATGTAACAAAGGAGAATGAACAAAATTTTAAAGGACAAAATGAGAATTTAACTAACAATATTAATGACAAATGTAACTAATAGGATAAATGTATGATTGTATAATAATAATTTATGTGAGTGTGAGTGTAAGTAATAGGATAAATTTAAGTAATATTAGTGAAAGTGTAACTTATAATATAAATATATATTAGGATGTTTCTATATGGACTGTAATTTGCCGGTCTGGTTTGTTTAAGTCTGGTCTGGTCTGATATGTTTAAGTCTGGTTTGGTCTGGTAAACGTATGGTCTCTGTGTATTTTATAACTACGGAAGTCAAGTCTAGTCTGGTCTGTTTAAGTCTGGTCTGGTCTGGGACTGAAAACAGTCCAATTTAAAACATCCTTAAAACATCCTTAACTACGTACCTTTTCAGTTGCAACGGTCAACATTTCACATTTGCCAACGCACGTCTTTGACCGTAATTATATCTTAATTCTATTAGTAAAAAAATATTAAAAATCAGTTTTTGAAAATTTGTAATGAGATGAATCGAACAATATTTTGTAAAAAATAATTTTCATAAAATAATAGCGTAAAATGTAGTCAAAGTAGAGAATGTGAATATTGTAAAATTCAACATGTTGCGATTAAAACATAATGAATGATAGTATTAATTAATGGACGTGTAACTAATAGGATAAATTGAACTAATATTAATGAATATGAGTTAAACTGTAAATTATAAATTATAAATGTATAAACTATAAATTATATTTTAATAACTAATATATAATACAATGTT